GTGCTGGATCTGAGGTCCCAACAGTGGCGATTGGCTAGTACTGCCGTCTAAGTTGCACACGCATCACTTCCCGAAGGACAGTACCTCGTTTCCTCTCCTCCTCTTTCGGAGCATTTTTCACCCAGTCCATATCTGCCCACACGATGCGCAGCAAAGGTTTCGCAAGAACAGTGATTTGAATCACACCAAGTGAATTATATATAAATCCGGAAAAAATAAAGCTCCTTTGGAGAATTAAGTTCTTTGCATTTATATTTTGGGTGTAAACAGTACTAATTATTTATACTTACATTTTCACTTCCTTCATCACGTATTCTGTAGAGCACTGAAAAGGAAAACAAAGTGTTTAATTTAATCCTCGTGGGCAGAACTGAAAAAGAAAAGAGTAAGGCACACGTGACGAGAGGCGCACAGGGCAGGTGACGCTGAGGCGTCCTCTCTGACTCATTTCACGTGACAATGTATTCTTGCGCTCAAAAAACCATAGTCAAATTTTGTTGTGTGTAAAATTGGGTGGTACGGAGACGATAAGTCTTTCACAGAAGAAGGAACTTATATTTTCAGACACAGATTTCATCTTAGCTCCTCGTATGGTTCTCAAAATAAACAGGTCTTGTCTCCCTAACAACGTTAAATAGCTGTAGGTTTTCCTGTAAAATCATCATTAAACATGTTTCATCTAAATTTACATCGAAATTACTGCACAGTTTTCTGTAAAATTCAGTAATATCAAATTTCACGAGTATCCGTTTATCGGTACTCGAGTTGCTCCATGCGGACAGACGGACGGATGTACCGACTGACTTAAATAGGCGCAATAAAGCATTGCGAACACGCCTGAAATTCCAGTTCCTGTCCCACAGAAATCACGCTACATCCCCATTACCAAGACCAACGGGTAAATGCTGTTTAGGGAAATGATCACTGTGTATTGTCCTGGATTCCAGGCTGTATATAGTGGCGCCTCCCAGCTTGGTAAATATATCTGTGTGCCTCTGCCCTGGAGCCCACGCAGGCTCCTACCCAGTGGTTACCTAGGGCTCTTTCCCCGGGCGTAAAGCTGCCGGAGCGTTAAGCAGACCACTCGCTTCCAACGAGTGCCGAGGTCAAGAATACTTGGATCTATACATCCACTCCCCAATAAATGTCCATGACGTACTGATTAATTAGTTAAGCGCAAAGACATCTTTACCTTTTTTGCGTTTCCCCAACTTCCAACATCCTCCTAACCAACCAGTGCTCCCCCTCCAGGGGGGCGCACGCCGTACCTTGGAAACCAGTGATTACTGTGAGAATTATATGTGCCACATAAATGCACTGCGTGGGTTTTATGCAGAGTGTTTGAACGCTGAGGCAGCCCGTAGCCGTATGCAGTAAACCATTGCTTATCTGGATTGATTGGGACGTGGAGGTCACCCGGAGTAATGCATAGCCTCCCCCCCCTCCCAAAAACATAGAAAACAAATAAATGGAAAATCTAGTAATAGAGGTCATGTTGACGAAAATAAATAGAAAAATATCCCTGCAGCAATTTCTTCCTCTCTCAGAAGCTGAAATCCAGGTTCTCCTTCGTCCAGCTCAAACCAATCTTGCGATATTTTCTCGCGTGCTTTCAGTCTCTCCAGTTTCCCTGAACACAGTCCGAAAGTCCTCTTGCGTTAATCCCCCTTGCTCCTAAATCCCATGTGTCTGTGTGATGTATGTAGAGAACTGCGAACAGAATTTTTAAATTTTCATATTTAGATCCGGATTATCCGACATCCGAATTAACTGTAACCGGAGTAGCGAGGGTTTACCCTAACTGAAACTCGCTTTGTAACGAGGCAAGGAGTTCCACCAGTTTACTTGATACGAGCAGCCAGTTTATGCCGTTTCTGTGCCACACACAATATACGGATTACGGCACGAAGCACATCGAATTTAAGACTTCTTTATGTGGCAATTCTGCAGACTTCATCCTACCGACTTCAGTTGATTCATTCTGCACAGCATCCGTAACTTGTTCATACGTTACAATAAAACTTTTACAAGCCACAGTAAGCATTTTACAAGCGCCCTTAGGTTCACAA